TGCAATGTCTAGTCCAGGTTCTAGAAAGATGAAAGAGATAAAACTCATAGGATTATATCAAGATGCAGAAAAAAGTATTTGATAAAATTCAACATCCTTTCACAATAAAACTCTCAACAAACTTGAGTACAGAAGGAATGTAATCAAAGCCATATATGACAAACCACAGCCAACATCATACTCAATGGTGAAAGGTTGTAAACTTTTTCTTTAAGATCAGGAATGAGTCAAGGGTGCCCTTTCTCATTACTGCTTTTCAACATAGTACTGGAAGCCCTAGCCAGAGCAATTAGGCAAGAAAAATAAATACAAGGCATCCAAATCAGAAAGAAAAAAAGCAAAATTTTCTGTCTGCAGCTGACATGATCTTATGAATAGAAAATTCTAAAGACTCTACCATAAAGACCTGTTAAAATGGAAAAGTGGTTGCCAGGGAACTGGGGGTAAGGAAAATAGGGAGATGTTGGTAAAAGGCTACAAGTTATAAGATGAATAAGGTCTGAGGATCTAATATATAACCTGGTGACTACAGCTATAACACTGTATTGTATAATTGAAATTTTCTAAGAGCGCAGAACTTAAATGTTCTAAGAAAGAAAGAAAGAAAGATTAGACTGGAGGAATCCTTCCACATTGTACCTATATTATATATCAAGTCAATCATGCATGCTTTAAATACCTTATAATTTGTCAATTATACTTCAATAAAGCTGAAAAAACTTTTAGAACTAATAAGTGAATTCAGTTGCAGGGTATAAAATTAATATACAAAATCAGTTGTATTTCTATACACTAACATTAAACTATCTGAAAAAGAATTAAGGAAAACAATCCCATTTACAACAGCATCAAAAACAATAAAATGGTTAGGAATAAATTTAACCAAGGAGGTGAAAGACCAGTACACTGAAAACTGTAAAACCTTGATTAAAGAAACAGAAAACACAAACAAATGGAAAGATTTCCCATGTTTATGGATCAAAAGAATTAATATTAATATTGTTAAAATATTCATTTTATCCAAAACCATCTATAGATTCAGTGCAATCTCTATTGAAATCCAATGGCCTTTTTCACAGAAATACAAAAACAATTCTAAAATTTGTTTGGAACCACAGAAGACCCTGCATAGCCAAAGCAATCTTGAGAAAGAAGAACAAAGCTGGAAGTGTCACACCTCCTGATTTCAAACTATACTACCAAGTTATAAAAAGACTGACACATAGATCAATGAAACAGAATGGAGAGCCCAGAAATAAACCCATGCATATACAGCTAATATTTGACAAGGGAACCAAGATTATTCATACAGCTCAATAGCAAAATAATAATAATAATTTGATTAAAAATTGGGCAAAACACTTGAATAGACATTTTTCCAAAGAAGGCATACAAATGGCCAACAGATACATGAAAAGATGCTCAACATCACTCATCATCGGGGAAATACAAATCAAAACCACAATGAGATATCACCTCAGCCCTGTCAGAATAGCTATTATGAAAAAGAAGTAAGTGCTGATAAGGATATGGAGAATAGGAAACTCTGGTGCACTACTGATAGAAATGTAAATTGGTAGAGTCATTATGGAAAACAGTAGGGGGGTTCCTCAAATAATTAAAAATAGAACTACTATATGATCCGGCAATTCCACTCCTGGGTATTATTGAAGAAAATTAAATTGCCATCTCGAAGAGATCTATACATTGCCACACTAGTCACAATAGCTGAGACATGGAAACAACCTAAGTGTCTGTCCATCAACAGAATGAACAGAGAAAATGTGATGTGCATGTATATATACAACAGAGTATTATTCAGCCATGAGAAAGAAGTAAATCCTGTCATTTGCAACAACATGGATGAAGCTTGATGACATTATGTTAAGTGAAATAAGTCAGAGAAAGAAATACACTGTATGATATCACTTACATATGGAATCTAAAAAAAACCAAACACACAGAAACAGAGAATTGATTGGTGGTGGCCAGGGGGTGGCGTTGGTGTGGGGAAATGGGGAAAAATCCTCCCAGAAAATGCTATTCGTTCCTAAGACTTCACTAACAGTCATTATCAAAGACACAAACTTCCAGTTATAAAATGAATAAGCTCTGGGGATTTAATATACAGCCTGGCATTTATAGTTTGACTATATCATATACTTGAAAGTTGCAAAGAAAGTAGATCTTAATTGTTCTCACTACACACACACACACACAATGATAATTAAGTGAGATGATGGATGTGTTAAGTAACCTTATTGTGGTAATCATTTTGTAATCATCACATTGTACACCTACTTACAAGATGTGATATATTAATTAGATCTCAATAAAACAGGGGGAAAATGATGAAAGAAGCACCCAGGAGGAAAAGGTGGTGCCTATCTATATCACAAAAGCAATTCCTAGAAATTCTTTCCTGTCTGATCGGCAAGAATATTATCACTTCTTGCTCCAAAAGAGCTGCTCAGAAAAATTTTTAATAGAATCTTTTTCTTTTATAGAATACCAATTTTGATTGGAATTCTATAAAAGAAAAAGTTTGGGAGAACAGATGTTAGGTAGATGACCACTGGTTTCTGCAATACTGAGAGTAGAAAGAGGGAGAGAATTCTTGGAAAGGGTCTCATGGAGAAAATGAAAAGAGAGCTTGATTTTAGAAATGTCAGGAGCTGAGTATCCATATGAAGTGCAAAGGAGTTTACTTCAGTGTCATAAATAGCATGAACAGAAGTGGAAGGCAGATTTGAATGCCGACAACAGATTAAGGCAAAGACTATGCTGGGAGCAATGAGAAGAGGCTGAATTGGTGGAGGGAGTTCAAGTTGTGGAGATCTTTGACAGGAAGACTTTGGACTTGGCATGAAGCATATTAAGGATTTACTAGAAGTTTTAAAGCAAGAGGAAGAATTCATTTAACTAATAGTTTAAGAAAACTTTCTGTGGTTGCAGAATGTGGTACAGATTAAAGAGGAAAGAGATGGGATCTATTTGCTTATGAAGTCACTGAATAATATCCAAGTGCTTTCACTGCAATAATTATGGTTGTTGCCCAGCTGAAGGTCTTAGAGTTACCCTAACACAAGTGTTTCCTGACTAATGGCAATCACCCACAACGTGCTCGCTAATCCTCCCAGAAAATGCTATTCGTTCCTAAGACTTCACTAACAGTCATTATCAGAACAATACTGTCAATAGTATTTTCCAACATGTGAGATATTCCCCACCTTGGACTGTGGCAATTGAATTTTGAGAAGGAAATATAAATGGTGATTTTTAAAAATCAGGCCAGAGGCAGCTGGGTGGCTCAATCGGTTAAGGGTCTGCCTTCAGCTCAGGGTCCCATGTCGGGCTCCCTGCTCAGCAGGGAGCCTGCTTCTCCTCCTCACTGATCGTGCTCTCTCTCACTCTCTCTCAAATGAATAAATAAAATCTTTAAAAATAAAATAAACAAACAGGGTGAGAAATTTCAGGCAATGGTTAGTATTTGAAAAATAAAAATAAAAAGCAGGCCATTTTTAATTTGGTCAACATGCTCAAAGTTAAGTGTTGACAGTATCCATGTGTAGAGAAATGTGTGAAAACTAATTTTTATGCCAGTGTCCTTTTCAAACACTGTGCATCAAAACTCTGGTTTAATAGCTTGCCTGACTCACTCTTCTCTTCCATCCCTAGGGCAACTCAGATTTCTGCAGTAGGCTGGAGTTTAGCCCCACCCCCAGCTTGGGAACTGATCTTCCTCCCTACTATTAGAGGATTCTGAAATCATAATCAAGTAGCTTAGTGACTCAGCAACCCAGCATGAATTCAGCCTTGCTTCAGGACATGGTTAACCTTGGGTCCCTTTCTAGTGATTAGGTCCTTATCATGTTTTTCCTTCTTGAACACTCTATTGTGATGCTTGACCCAATACTCATCCTTCCAGAACTGAGGTCTTTCCTGGGTCCCATCAGTCCTCCTGAAGGCCAGTGTCCTAACCCTGAGTCCCATTGCCCTCCACCTTCTGCTAAGCCTTCCTGATGCTTCTTCTCTTCTTGTTGACAGGCCTAGCTATTGCTAATTGCCAAATCCCCAGCAGCTCACCTGCTAGTATTTATTTCCTCCTGTTTCCTATTGCTTAGAGTTGCCTGGTCTCCGGAGTCAAGCCTATTGAACAGCTGACTACAATCCTGATTCAGACATGTCCTTTATTTTAATAAAGGTTCACATCTCACAGCTAGTCTTTTAGCCTTTTGCTTATGGAAGGATTTTTCCCAAAAAACATTAATTCATTTTTATTGTTTATATTTTTTCCCTTCTGTTACCATTCCCAGCAGGTAGCCAGGCTCACAGGATTTCCTTGTTACAGAGAGAATTTTACTGAGAAGAAGTCAGAAGCCATCCAAAAAAAGATGGCTTTTTTTTTTCCTTTTGGAAAAACTTACTGAAGAGCTTATTTTAAATATCCTGAATGTGTAGAACAGAGAAATGTGTATTCTATGAGAAGTAAGAGGAGTGGGGGCCTGGGCCCATCTCAGGGGAGTGCACTTGGGAGTTGACAAAGACCTCAGAGTTTTGGCTGCATGAATTACCAAGAAACCTAGGCCTGGAAACCCCCAGTGCCTAAGGTTCCCACACCCCAAATGTGGTACGGATGCAGCATAGACACAGAAAAATGAAAGGACCACTCCAGGTGGGATAAAGTCTTCCTAACAGTAACACCTTTAGGAACAGTGATAGGAGGGGAAGCAATAAGAATGAGACGGTTCATTCCTCCAGCCTCGGGGATAGGGGTTCAAAGAGGAATTCAAATTGGCTTTTTAAGTAATCCCAGATAACATATATGACACAAACCCTGCCTTCAAGGAATTAAAGGATAAATGTGGAAAGTAAGACAAAGTTGCCTATATAATATGCATATATATCACAGTGTACATATATAATACATATTATGTCATAGTACCTAACATAACAACATAATGTAATATCTGTACCATTAAAGAGATTTAAAAATTTACCTCTGATTGGAAGATTCAGAAACATCTTCATAGAGACCTAAAGAGATTGGTAAAATTTGTGTAAGCAAAACCCCTCAAGTTGGGAAAGAATAAAGAAGTTAAAGCAACATTCAGTGGGACGTCCATTTGGCTGGGACTTATGATGCCTCAACTGTCATGGGAGGCAATAAAGTTGGAGATGAAATGGGACATGCTGACAGTCTGTTCTGCCAACAGAGAGAACAGAATATGCAAGTGAATAGAAGAACTGTGTTAACGATGTGGGAGACTAATTCCAGCCAGTACAGCCATCCTGCACTGTCAAGAATTAGCTAGAACAAGGCACCTGGGTGGCTCAGTCGGTTGGGCATCTGCCTTCTTTCTGCCTTCAGCTCAGGTCATGATCCCGGGGTCTTGGTTTTGAGCCCGCATTGGGCTCTTTGCTCAGCAAGGGGTCTGCTTCTCTCCCTCACTCCGCTGCTTTCCCTGCTTGTGTGCTCTCTCTGTCAAATAAATAAATAAAGTCTTATAGAATTAGCTAGAACATACACACTAATGATCTCTTAACTCATTTATAACAAATGGTAGAATCAAGCAACATAAAATAAGATTGGCAACAGCTAAATTGTGAGATCTTCAATCTGACTAGGAAAGTTAGGCTCAGTGAAAACAGAGATCAGAAGGACATCCAAAAATTACAAATAGAAAAAGTTAAATTGGCATACTTAGTATGGACAAAAAAAAAAAAATCCTAATTAATGAATCAAATTTTAACCATTACCTCCAAAGACTCTAAGGTATCTGTGCTGTTTATGTTATGGGGACTCTTTGGCTTCCTCCCTATCTCTATGGGAAATCACAAATATTGGACACATTATCTTGAACTCCCCCAGTCTTTGGCCTCCTTTCCTAGGGGGACACTGAACCTCCCATTTCCACCAATGACACCACCTACACAGGGAGTAACTGGCTCCCCCCATCTGGCCCCCTTCAGGACTGTGGAAAATTCTGTAGCAAACTTGGCTATCACAGTGGATGGCACAGATTGACTCATGATTGGTTCTTCTTTACTGAAGGTTACCTTTCTGTGCTGTACCACACACTACAATCAGTAATGATTGTGTTCCTTTTCAACCACAATGGTATATGAACCACATCTTCACAGGGACGGATTGTATATGGACAGTAAAATATCAAATATTCATCAGAACTGCCAGGGTAGGGGGTAAAATCAAATCGGGAAAAAGGTACCCTAAACCTAACATTCCTGTTTGTTCTCACCCTTGGGTACAAATTGGAGAAGGCCTCCACTTGAGTTGGGCACCTGTAGATCAACAAACATCACTAAAAATCCACTATTTGAGGAGTGAGTGCTAGAATATGGGGGCCCAACGGGTCTCCTGGTTCAAAACTCTAACATCACATGGCATTATAGCCTCCCTTATAACTCTGGACAGTCTTTATCCTGGAACCCGGGACTGGTGGGGTCCCTGTTGCATGTCCTCAAGCACTCTCACTGGTCCTTGTTAAAAAAAAAATACATCTGACACCTGGCAATTGTGCACAGGGTGCGTCAAGGAGACTATCAAAGACCTAAGGGGAGAAAGATTACTTGGGTTGCCAATGATACCACTGAATAGATTAGGGTTTGCTCCTCTCACCCCTACATACTTGAGATGTCCTCCCATGAGCCTTCTATCTTTCAGATAAATTCTTCATCTTCTCATTATCCCTGGATGAAAACCTTTAATGTAACACTAGCTGCCAATTTCACGGGGCTCACTCCCTGTATTACACATCCGAATATAACCCAACTAAACATCACTCAGATTCTTGTGCTCAAGCAGAGGGCTGAGGCATGGATCCCGGTCAACCTAACTAGGACTTGGGCTGGAGATTCCGCCTTAGAACAGATTACTAACGCTCTAGACCGTGCTAGGAGCAAAAGATTTCTCGGGCTCCTCAGAGCATCCATTATAGCTGTCCCCGCCCAGGCCGCTACCGCTCCTACAGCTGTAGTCGCTCTTTCCCATTCTATTTAAACAGCCCATCTTATGAACAGTTATCTACAAAATGCAACCTTTGAGTTAATCACTCAGACCACAATGAATTAGGAAATCCTCCAACGCCTTGATGCGTGGGAAGCGGCGGTCTCCTGGCTGGGGGAACATCAGCAAGTCCTTTGGACCCGTAGCCGTCTCAGCTGTGATGTGGGCTATCACTCCATGTGGAGCACCCCTGTCCCCTTCAATAGCTCCCCTCTTTGGGAGGATGTCCAACAGCTTCTACATAGAGCATTTCATTCTCCTCTGGGTCAGGACATTCTCAGCCTTCAAGGTCAGTTACATGAACAAATGGTTCAATTACGTGAAGAGGCACAAAATGCCACGCTTGCCCACCTTAATGATTCGGCTCATTGGCTCAACCCTCAAAACTGGTTTTCAGGACTAGACCTCCGAATATGGATTCTCATAGGTCTTCTCTGTTTTCTTGCAGTGCTAAAGGCCCTTGGCTACATGTTTCATAGAACTCTTCCTGCTGGGGGCGCCTGGGTGGCTCAGTCGGTTGCACCTCTGCCTTCAACTCAGGTCAGGATCCCGAGATCCCGGATGGAGTCCCCACCTGCTCCCTGCTTGGCGGGGAGCCTGCTTCTCCCTCTCCCTCCGCCGCCCCCCCCCCCCCCGCTTGTGCTCTCTCTCTCTAATAAATAAATAAAATCTTAAAAAAAAAAAAAAAAAAAGAACTCTTCGGCTGAAGCGATGATGACCCTCCAGCAGCAGCTTCGCTATAAGGCGATCCCCACCCAAACCACCCTTGTAACCTTCCCTTCCAATCTGAACTTACGTAAACAAAAACGGGGGAAATGTGGGCGAGCAGGACCTCAGCGGGTAAAAGAGACAAAAAGAACAAGAACACGCAGAAATGGCAACAGCTCCAAGCGTGTGGCAAGAGCCAGTTATTCCCGCCCTGGGTCGGTGCAGAAAACAATACATGCTAGACACAGCAATGATGGTGCTTAAGATAGGCAGGCCGGCTGAGCTCAGTTCCCCGATCCCTGCAGCCCCTTAGATAATGCCTCCGAGGACCCGTGCTCGTAGTCACGCACACGGTTCCCTGCTGCCCCTCACGTGATTGCTTTCTTGCGTTGTTTTTCCCTCCTTGCTTCCGCATACTTTACATTCTACGATACGATAGTAGGTTTTGATGATAGGTAATAAACCCGAGAGTCCACCGGACTCGGGGCTTCAGCTCGGCGCCTGCACTTCTTTCCCGGGCCTGGCGGTGCAGCCCCTTCGGGCCTCTCTTTGTTCCAAATTATTGGACACTGAGGAATTGTTTCGTCTCCGGACAAGCCCGCTGCGCCGCCTATCTGCATTTCGCAAACCAGGACTGCAAAGATTTTGGTGGCGGAGAAAACAAAGGAGGTGATGACACCAGCTTTGTCTTCCCACTGCTGCCCTCCGTATTCCACCCCCCCCCCCCCAGCCCTTTGCTCCCATTTCCACCATCACCAACTCTCCCAAATCCCAGCTCGCCCATTTAACACACAGAGCACTAAGGCTGTTTGCCGCTGAGACAAAACACACCTATTCCTCTTCTTTCCCTTTTGTCAAGGGCATCTTGCCACTGTGTGTGTGAGGGAGTTCGGAGATGGAGGTGTGCTACAGAGCTCCAGGGAGGAACCGTGAGACAGCCTGGAACCTCCAAGTTGGCCCATCATCGTGATCAGGGTAGCAGTTAAAGGTCGGCAAGCAAAGCAATTTAACCACGACCCCGTCTCTGTTCTCCTTAGTAAATTGCCACATCACAGTGCTTGGCGGGGCCAGAATATTCCCTTTATTAATCCCATTACCAAGACTCAGTCCCTTTAGAGCAAGACTTAAATCCCATCCCAGCTCTGACACAATAGAATTCTCAGAAGCAAAAACTTCTCAGGGAAAGAGCAATAAATCAGGATGCAGCTTCTCCCGGAGTACTGCCAGCAAACGTATTTTCCAGGCAAATAGGAGCTGGCGGCAAAAAACAAGTGAGCTCAGGTTTCCCTGTGATGCGATTACTACCTTGGGGGAGGGAGAGATGGGTGGATGGAGAGAAAATCTGACCCTACCTTGGACTAAAAAAAAAAAAAAAAAAAAAAAATCTGGCATTTTGGCAGTCCATCTACAAGCGCTTTCTGAATGCCAAGTGCATGGTAGAACCCAGCCAGAAACAGAGACCTCCGGTGGCTTGTGATAAGCCACTGTTTCACTCACTCGGCTTTTCAATAGTGTCAGGTGAACAGAGTCTTGCACTGCAACCTTAGACCAGGGCGAACAGCAGCTGCAAGGCAACCGAACACCCGCTGGACCACAGAGCCACACCACCAGGCTGGGGGAGGAGGAGGCCGGCCTTTCTTCTCTTTAAAGAAAGATCTTGCTACTTTGCCCTTTTCCTTAACCTTTCCTTTTCTGCTGTGTAGGCCAGTCAGGTTTATCAGTCAGTGGGCCAAGTTGGACCAGCGAACGCCACACCTTTGTCTGGACAGTTGCACCCTGGGGGGTTTCCAGGGAGGAGGACCTTGACTGCCACACCACTCAGCGTCTCTTTATACTCACAGTGTCAGGAGCGCCCCTTTGGAGCCCAAGGTCGGCCTTGGACCTTGGCTGTGTGTTCTTGGGCACCGCACTTTACCTCTCTGAGCCTCAGGTTCCTCATCTGTACGATGAGGATCATTATACTTGTCCCTCAGTGCTTTGTTAGAAATTAATAAGACAATACATAAAATACTTTGTTAGAAAAAATTAGACAATACATAAAATACTTGCATTAGCACATACAAAGCCCTTGAAAGGCAGGTATTTAATGCAGGAATGTGCAAAAGAGATGTGGGAAAACATGGCTTTTATTTTACCTGGAATGTGCTTTAAATACCTTGTTGTTCATTTGGTCCTTCCACGGATCCATCAGGAGTAAACCTCTCTGCCTCTAAAAAAATCGTGCCCAACTTCGTGGAGTTCAATGCTTCTTGCTCTGTGTTCCCAAAGCAAATTGTTCGAGCGTCTATCTACATTGCAGCAATTCAATTCCTGCACTGTTGAATGTAGTCATTGCCTTGTCTGTCACCCTCTCCTGCCATCCCCTGAACACCTGAAAGGCAAAGGAGAAACTGTTCAGTTACAAGAGGGTTACAAGCACCTCTGTGGCCAGACTGCTTGAGACCAAATCCCATTCTCATTTTACCCATTAACTGTCTGCCTCAGCATTCCCTCTGAAACTGGGTTTGATAATAATAGTACCTGCCTCCCAAGGTTAGCTTAAAAGAATGCTCAGCACCACAGAAGTGGTAACTTTTATTATTATTCTCCTCTGCATCCCCCAGAGCCTGGGAGACAGCAGGTGATGGGTTTGGAGGAACCAGAGAATCACTGCAAATTACAAGGAGAGTGATCCATACCTTTCCTTCTGGGCAACACATCACACAGTGATTCAAGAGTGGCTAAATTGGTATCCAGAAGATTTGAAAACAGGATTTTGAAGAGGTATTTGCTCACACGTGGTCATTGCAGCACTATCTACAATAGCCAAAATGTAGAAGCAAACTGGATGTCTATTGATGGGCGAATGGATAAGGAAAGTGTGGTGTATACATACAATAGAATACTATTCAGCCTTAAAAAAGGAAATTCTGTCATTTGCTACAACATGGATGAACCTTGAGGACATTATACTAAGTGAAATAAGCTAGTCACAAAAGGACAAATACTGTATGATTCCACTCATATGAAGTATCTAACATACTCAAACTCATAACAACAGAAAGTAGAGGGGCTGGCGGAGCGGGAAATGGGGAGTTGCTCTTCAGTGGGTATAGAGTTTCAGTCATGCAAGTCTTGGAAAATGTTCTAGAGCTTTGCTGTACAACAATGAACGGGCATTGAGTTAACAATACTGTTCTGCATATTTAAAAATTGTTAAAAGGGTAACAAAGCAAATATAAGTCATGTATTCTTTACCACAATAAAAAAATATATAGATTTAAAGCCAAAAAAAGAAGAACTAAATTGGATGTATCAAGCTCAGCACTACAGGCCTCTCTGTGCCCAGCCCCACTCTGAGGTAAGGGCTGGTCTGCACGGGGCAGTCAAACTTGACACAGTCATGGCTCCTTCTTTATGATGTGCACCAATGTCTCCATGTCTGCACAAAGGTAAACACCTTTGTGTTTTCTGCTGAATGCCCACTAACATCATGTAAGAATGCCTAAGGCATTCGAGTGGGAAGACTGTACAGAATAAGCGATGCCTGGAATAGTAGGATAATGTTCAACTTTCTATCTACTCAAGGAGTTTGCTTTCCAAACTAGTCTACTAAATAGCCTGCTTTTTTCTTCCCTCATAGCACTTATCTCCACTGGCGTTATATAATATATTCACTGGTTATTGGTCTATTGCCTGCTAGTAGAATATAACTCCATGAGAGCATAAAGTTGGTTTTGTTCACTACCATATCCCTAGCATATAGTGATGCTCAATAAACATTTGTTGAATGAATGAATGAACAAATGAGTGAATGAATGAATGAATCCCTTGTTAGGGAAGAAACAGGAAAAAAAAATAGATTGTCCTTAGCTTGGCCAGCAAGGTTTAGGTGCTTATGTTAAATAGGAAATTGTCTTTGGAAGGATAGAATCCCTTTATCTCTTTGCATTGCATCATTTTGCCCCCTCTAGTCTGGAGGTGCAGACCTCAGTGCCCCTCTGCAACACAGTAAATATGAATTTAGTTATGATTTTTTAACTAGATATGTCCAGGACACACGGAACTTTATAGACTCTTATGAGCTAGATAATTACAGAAATTGAACTGAGTGACAAGAACTCATTAGACATAGGGCATGGGAGAAGGAGAAGCACTCAGGGAGGGCCAAGAAGACAAACATAATGACATTGTCACCATTTCAACAAACTCTCAGATGGCATCACTTGAAACTGGGTTCGGGAGCAAAGAAAGACAGGTGTCTAAGACACATGGACTCAGAGTATTATCCAGGTATTCATTCAGTCAGCCTTCAAAAACTGAGTCCTCACCCTGAGTTAAAACTCTTCCTCTTTATTTCTTTATTTCTTTCCAGAGTTAACTTGAAAAGTTAACTTTCTACCACAGACATCTGCTGGGTTTGGAAGGTTTAGAATCCTGAGGTTTCAGAGTCACTCCCTATCCCGATGCCTGCTGCCCATGCTCACTGGGAGGATGAACCACATCTGCCTCATTCTGACCTGTGGAGACCCTGTGTGGACAGCCATCAAGAGGGTACTGTTCATACTAAAGCTCAGTTCCTCTGAGCCTGCATGTCCATCTATATAACATCTAATGTCATCCCTCCTGCTGGCCCACCGAGGATTATTTTTCCATCCTTCATTTGGGTCTTCTTATGAAATTCTGGGCCAGAGCCCTTTCCAGAATGTTAATGGGAGAAACTACCGAAGCTCCTGAGGAAGAAGATACCAGTGGCATTTTTTTCTTTTATTTTTCTTTGGAACAGTCCTAGGGAGAAGCTTTGGGGGAAGCTTGGTTGGGCTTAGGATCCTCCTGCAGCAACAAACAGCAACCTAAACTGTCAGTAGCTGACTTTGCACAGCAGTTTCAAAACCAGAAACCAAAATAACTGCCAGTGAGAACCTACTGACAGCAAGATTTCACAGCATTTTTCCCTGTAGTGTAATCCAGCCTCCCTTCCACCTTCGTTCCCAGAGATCATGCCAAGGCAAGGGATTGTTTCCCTTTTCCTGCCCCAGGCAAGTGCCCCGGGAGTGCATCTGTAGTTTATAAGACTCCTCAGTCATACTGGATGTGGCAGGACAAAACTGGGGAAGAAGGAGAGCAGGAGATGAGATCTGAGACTGTGAGTTCTCTCCCAACTTCCCTCCCGATCAGGGTGGCTCAAGGAGAGCTCAGGGTCCAGGAAGGACCACAAAGAGGAAACGTGGATGTACAAGTAAAACCCAGATCAAACGCAGCATCGGTTGCAGTGTTCAGGGTACGGCGTCAGGAGAGGTCAGCAGAAAGCTGCCGGCGGATGTGAATGAAGAAAGGAAAGAAATTTTGTCTCAGAGGTGGCAGTGGGGAGGCCCACGGAAGAACGTTAGCGTATGACGCTAACGTTGATGATGATAATGAGAGAATGTGACAGCTACCATTCATTAAGCATCTGCACTGCAGCACCGTGGTGAGTTCCTTCTATACATTAACTCATTCAGGCACGAGGTAAGGTGCGCAACTGCCTTTAACTCCATTTCTTGGGGTTCGAGAAGTTAATAACTTGAGCACGCTCATTCAGTTGCAGAGAAGAGCGAGGACTTCAGCTCAGGGCTATCTGAAGCCCACATAGCTATCCCAGCCCCTGGGAACCTTTGGAATGAACTCCAGATGGACTCTTCAAGTTCTGACTTGGGCCCTCCTTCTTCCAGCTACCTGCCTATTGAGCATGAGCAGGGGGAAAGGCGCATAAACCAGGGAGGCCATTCCTGCCTATTTCTCACCCAGGGGTGGCTCTCCGCTGCGATTCCTAAAGCTGGTGTAGACTGACCCCTCTGAGGGCGTGACAGATAGCAACGGGAGGTCCACAGAGGACCAAGGTGCTATGCCACACCCCTGCACAGTATTTCTGCCTCAAGACCCCTGGCCCGTGGGTGCCCACTTGTACTCAGTCTTGATTGCTTCTTTAATTTCCCATCTGAAAGCTCAATTTGTCAGTAACTTCTGTTTCTAATAACCCTTTAGCTCCCCTCAGCTTTTGCTAACTGCCCACACGCCCTCCCATGAACACTGCTCCCCTCAGCCGCAATGTGGAGAACAGCTGAGTGGGAATGCTCAGGCGAAGCCAGCGAGCCCCCAAGCAATGCTTCCTTGGCAGCAGACTCTGATTTGGCAACAGGCATGCAAGGGCTCCAAAGAACACAAATATTCCCTTTTTTTTTTGGCAGCATTAATGGATAAGTGCTTTAACAAAGACAGGGATATAATGGAGATCAGGAAGAAAGGAGTAAAGAGACACTTTTGACTAGGTAAGAATCCCACGTTGGAGCTCATCCTCTAGGCTGTGAGGATGACTTGTCCTTTGTCCTTCAGACTCGCCCAAGCAAGGGTCTTACCTCCTACATTCTCAGCAGCTGCTCTCACGTGTTCAGAGCTCCACACATTTTGGGTTTCTGAAGTGAAATCAGAAACCGTTTCTCTTCCCAAAGTTACCTATAATCATGATGATGGCAGTGATGATAGCTGTCAGGTATACAAGCCCCCGTGCTGAACACTACACGATGATGAGGATGAATGATAATGAGAACTCACAATGTCATAGTTTACCACGGACTAAGCAATGTTTTAAGTGATTTATATATATTAACTGATATACTAATACATCACTTAACATATAAATCCTTACAGCAAAATTATGAGGTAGGAACTATTATTATCCCATTTTACAGATGGAGACACTGTGGAGCGAAGAGTTCAAGTGACTTGCTCAAGGTCATGACTGTGAAAGGTAGATAGTTATCCCCCAAGAAACTAAGGTTCAGAGGGGGTTAGTAACCTATTCAAGGTCACACAGTGAGAAAATGGTGAAACTGAGTTGCAAACCAAATCTGCTAGACTCCAAAGCATATACTATTAGCTACTATGCTTGATTAACCCTAATTCTTTCTATAGATATAAAGATATAGATATATATAGAGATACATATATACATGTGTGAATGTGTATACACATATGTGTGCACACACACACACACACAGAGAAACATATCCACACAACCTAGAAAACTGAGGTTTGATGAAGACAAACATACAACTGTGTTCCTATCCAAGAATTTGGGTGGAAGATGGTATATGACAGTATTTCTTACTACCTTTGAAAATTTCACATCTGAGGGATGCCTGGGTGGCTCTGTCGGTTGGGTGTCTGCTTTCGGCTCAGGTCATGATCCCAGGGTCCTAGAATCGAGTCCCGCATCAGGCTCATTGCTCAGTGGGGAGCCTGCTTCTCCCTCGGCCTGTCACTCCCCCTGCTTGTGCGTGTGCTCTCCCTCTCTCTCTCTCTGACAAATAAAATCTTAAAAAAAACCTTTCACATCTGGGTCTATATA